TGACATTGAGGCCTCTTTTCTGCTGGTAGTGTGGTGGTGTGAGTTGGACCAATGTCTGGTTAAACTGAGGGTCAGTGTAACAGAAAGTCTGCCCTCCATATAGTTAAAATGGTTAGGGTTAGCCAGACCTAAGTGGGTCAAAATCTAGGGTGTGGCTTACCTATACAAATGAATGGAAAGTGGACTTTTTATCATGGTGGACTCTCTGTCATGTTACATCGGTTTTAAAAGATTCTTGTCTGAGCAAGCCTCTACAAAGTGGACAGCTTGGTGACAAGATTGACACAGGTGTTTTCTATGTGACATTAAGATACAGGTGGAACACATATGTTTCTACTCAGTTATTTACTACGCTACGACATGAACATTAGGCAGACAAAGAATTAAGGGACTTTCACTGACTGCATATACTGTGTCTTCCTAAAGGTAATTTAGAATTAAAAAAAGCATTTTTAATCTGTTAAAATGATTGCATTCAGCGAGAGTCCCAAGGTTGGATCAGGGATCGATATACATAGTCTAGACCAATAGTTTCATTGGGAATGATCCTTTAAGTCATGTCAGTAAGTTGGAATTCTCCCACAAGAAGTGTTGTTGTCCATATAGAATTCTTTATAACACACCGAACAGCATGTTATTTGACATCTCAAAGTTGGTTGTTACTATGCTTAAGATTGTGTTAATAAGAAATAGACATGTATGTACAAGACGTGTGGACGGGGGAGTACTTTACACCATGCATGGTATGGGAGGATTTCATGGAAAGCACAGCTGTGTGTTGGCTGTTATCATGAATTCTTTATGTGGGACACATTTAATGGCTGGTATCAAAGATGCACTATAGTTCCACTGCAGGATGAACCAAAACCAGAACTACATTTTAGGTATGTGAAGTTTGCATGTGTGTGTGAGTGTACATATGCACATGTGGTTTAATTCATGAATAACTTTTGGAAATTTTTAAGTAGCTGTGTGTGTGTGTGTGTGTGTGTGTGTGTGTTAGTGTATGTGTTCATGAATGTGTGCCTGAATGTGTGCATGTTTCCTCAAATGATTTCTTCGTTAGTTTGTAGTTTCACTGCGTGCAAGATGATGAACCAAAAACAGAGTTGGGTATACACGTGATGCGATGTAATGTAATGTGATGTAATGTGATGGGTGTCTGTGCACGCATTCCTGTGTGTGTTTTGTTAGTGTGAGTGGATAGGCATACACATGTTTTTACACTACGAACGGATAATATAATGTAGAATAATTTAAACTGTCCAATGTTTAGACTGGGATGCATACTTCCCCCGAGTTATTTTTGAGGAAGTCTTTCAATTTTTGCGCAAAAAGATTCAAGAAAGACGTTGGCTTGTGGATATAAAAATATGTGCCCTGGATACCGGAGCTGGCTATAGGTTTTCTCAGTGAAGAGTGTAGTATTTCTGGTAGCTGGACCCCTACTGGACTTTATACAACCAGCATTGTGAAGTCATCTGGTCATCTGATTGCATGTTTGAGATCTTATGAATTTCAGACTGGAAGAGAGTCATCTAACAAACATCTGTGTTGGACCACTGTCTGTGGATTACCTGGATAATGTGTAGGGGCGTGATTTATTTTAGAGCCATTCAAGTAAATTTGCTCTAGATCATTTTATTTCTGCATGGGAGGTTGTGGCTAATCAGTTAAGCAAATTTGCCAAAGGCATTCTGAGGGAATTTCACAGTCAGTTGAGTGTCTATAAAAGCAACTTTAGAAAGGAAGAATGCAGATGGAAATGTTAACCAAGCCATATGTCACATGGATTGGGATGTAAAAATTCACGCAGAAGTAAACTACATGAATGCACATAAAGGAAAATGCAATATTGTTTGGAAAAAACATTCTCAAAGACAACCAATTAAGTCATATTACAAGATGCTGAGATTTCATGGAGACACGAACTGGATGACTATCAACAAAAAGGAACTGTATTTTTTCTTCCATTCATGACCAACAAAAAAGAACTTTTTTTTCTTTTGTAGCTGAGTTCTAAAACAAACATAGTATTCTGTAATTACTACTAAGTCATTTTGCGCAGCGGTTGGTACTAGGTAGATATATAAGGAAAGGGACCACCATTTATCATTAAGATGATAGTTTTTGTAGCCAACTGATCTCAGATGTTGTTCGTGAGTGATAAAGTAACTTGTAAAGAAGCAACTCGGATGGAACATCTCAAAAAGGTAATGTAATCATACTCCTTATGTTATGGAGATAGCATTCCTCCCCAGAGTATTATAGATTTATATTTTCTTGCCAAATCAAATTTTCCTCAATAGAAAAAAAAATGAAGAAAAGGAGAAAAAAATTTCCTCTTGCATATCACAGCTTGACCCGTCCTTCCACTTCAATTTGATGAGTTATACCATTTTCTAATGAAATTATTTAGTTCTAAAAGACTGGCCATGCATTTCACTTATTAGACTGCCACATGTCTTCCTGTACATTTGGGAAGGAAATATTGACATCAGATTTTATTTGAGGCATTATATTATTTTTAAGGTCTAAATTGACAGTGTGAAGGAAAGTTATCTTTGCAGGGTCTGTAGATATATAGGAAATTTGGATCTGGGGCATTTTTAAATACAGATGCTTTTAATTACTAGTAGAGAATGAGCTGATCATCCAAATATGTTATTAGTGTGTTGAGAATGGCAGACTTAAACATGGTCCTGTCTTTGTTTTAGCTGCAAACCTTTCATTACCCATTTTCACATAATATTGATTAATCAGTTTTGAAATTTATTAAGAAATATTTTGTATATGTTACCTTTAAATGCTTTTATGTGTTAAAGTGAACATTATAACCCATTTTTAGGGTCTTGATGACTTTAAATTGTACACCCGGTGTATATGCAGTTATTGGACTCTCATAATAGACATTAATAAAATGTTTATTATCATAATCATTATAATGTTTATTGTTATTATACAATGTGTAGTTAAGTTTCATAGACCGTCCAGTCAGATAACATATTGTTGCCTAGGTAACGTTTGCTTTAGACATAAGGCTTCTCCTGTCATGTCTTTCTCTGAGTACTGTAAGGGTTTCTGATCTCTGACAATCTTTTCTGGTACAGAGCTGTAAGTTATAATTCTTCCTTAACTCAGTCTGATGTATTTTATGATAATAATGACATTCAAGAATAGGGCTGTCACCGTGACCCCTGCAGTTTTGTAGTGAATCCTTGTATGTCTTTTGCATCATTAGGACAAACTTTTACTCAATCAAAACAAATTAACTCAATCAAAATATCTTATCTTGTACTTTAAAATCCTAGACACTTTATCAAAATATCATCCATGAAATTGTTGGTAACACTGAGATATTTCAAAAGCCTTGATGTTCTAATTGTAGCATGAGTAAGACAAGTTTCTTCGGAAATCATTATCATTTGGGTTCATGCAAAGAAAAAAAACAGCAACAGGAAATAGGATGAATGCACAAGAAAAATAGACTACCAAAGCACAAGACTTGTTATCATGCAATTTCTTGATTTAAAAAAATCCTTGTGACATTAAAAGAAGCTAATACACAAATATGTAAGATGATGTATATTTCTTGCAGGAGTAGGCAATGTTAGAAAAGTCTACGTAAAAAGAGCCTTTTTTTTTTTTATTCTTAAATTACACCCATGTTGCCAGTTGAGTACAGTTTTCTGTGTATCTGCCAGTTTTTTACCTGCTCATCTGTGAACACCTATAGTGTAGGCACTGAACTTCAAATTAGCTTTTACCAAGGAGTTATAACTCCTTGCTTTTACTACATAAACAGGGGCGGATCCAGAGATATTTTCTGACAGTCTTCCAAATTATCTATGTTGATCCATCCTCCATTTTTGACCGTCTTCCGACAGAAAACATTAAATACCCGTCAATGTAAACTTGAAAATCTGACAGTCTTCCGGAAGACCCTGAAGACGGCCTAAATCCGCCCCTGATAAAGGTGTACTCTGGACACATAAAGCTGTTCTTTTTTGGTCTTTTGGACTTTTTATAGGCTGCACAAAGCTATTTAACTTTAGGCCTGCTTGAACATGACTGAGTTTAACTTTAATGTGTGTATAATATACAGGCACTGCTGCAACACAAAGACAAACCGTGTAATATGTATAAGATTTATCCACTGCGTTCTGTTGTAAATGAGGGTTGTTTTATTTAATATGAATGATGTCAAGACCAGTGCGATATGATTGACTTCTATATGCAGGCATACTAGAAGTACTATAATGGGAAATTTCACCATGAGATTGAATTTTTGTACTTTATTGTTAAAGGAAGAGGTGTTTTTGGAACTCATGCTTTTATAAGTAAGAAGCAACATTTGGATGGATGTTGTAAAGTACACATATGAAAGTGATAATATATAGAAAGTTTGAGTAAAATTTTAAGACAAGCGACTGTGAATTTGGAAGTGTGATGTGTGAGCTTGGGTCATAATTAAGACTGCGTTCACATGAGAAATCTATTTTCTAAAAATCTATTTGCGGTACGTTGTGATCACGGTCTGTGCCCTGAATACCCCACGGCGTAATTACAGGCACCACAAGCCAGTTACTTCCAAAACTGTAATTAATTCTTGGCGCTGCCAGTATTTACGCCGCAGGGTATTCAGGGTACAGACCGTGATCAGAAGATACTGCAAATAGATTTTTAGAAAACAGATTTTTCATGTGAACGCAGCCTAAGAGAGAATAATCTTGAGTGTATTTAAAAACACTTTGATTTGAAGTCAGTTGAAACAATAATAGTTGCTATGATAATAAATTGTGGACCATTATGTATATATCTCTAGCTGGTATGAAAAACATATGAGAGCAAATTATTTAATGTATTTTTCATGTTATCATTTGGTTTCAGGAAACAGCTGACTTATTACAAATGATCTGAATTCACTTCTTAATTTTCACCAAACAGACGTTTTTTGGAGGTATATGCTATTACGAATAAATTCTTTTTTTATTTTTTAGGAGCGAGGAACCTGTCAGCTCCAATATGGATATCTCTACAGGACACGTGGTACTGGTAAGTAATCTCTCTCTCTCTCTCTCTCTCTCTCTCTCTCTCTCTCTCTCTCTCGGCAGTTCCATTCATACAGGTTCCAAGTTTAATCAGTTTTGATACTAATAAATAGGAGTAAAATATGCAAGCCACATTGGGTATACAGTGTGAAATGCCAGATACTGCAAGGAAACCCCTCTGCCTCTGATACTAAAGCAGGGGCAGATTTGGGCCGTCTTCTGGGTCTTCCAGAAGACGGTCAGATTTTCAAGTTTACGTTGACAGGTATCAAATTTTTTTCTGTCGGAAGACAGTAATAAGTGGAGGGTGGATCAATAAAGATAATTCGGAAGCCTGTCACAAAATATCTCTGGATCCGCCCCTGTAAAGTCTCTAACATACAGCTTCTGTTTGTTGGTGACTCTTTCCCGGATAAAGAGCTAACTTAGTGCTCATTAACAATGAAACTATCAGTCACTCTGTGGGGACTCTTGCTGAATGCAATCAGATTAAGAGATTAATAGGCTCCCTCCTGGTAGTTTTGAGTAGGTTACAAAACAGCTGGTGATTATACAAGTATGTATACATTGGAAACAAGTGGAGGCGTGTGAACCATTGGGAATGGGTCCTTAGACTGCATCGATCTGTACGACCAATGTACTATAAACAGCTTATTTTTTCATTTGGTAATTCAATCTTCTTTTCCCATCTTCAGTCCTACATGGAAGACCACTTAAAGAACAAAGACCGCCTCGACCGTGAGTGGGAGGCCTTGTGCGCTTATGAGGCAGAACCCAACACTACGGAGGCGGCCAATCTCCCCAATAATACGCGCAAGAACAGATATTGTGACATTCTCCCATGTAAGTGTACAGTGTTTTTTTGTTTGTTTGTTTGTTTGTTTTTTATGTGTTAAAAAAGTGTCCTAGATGTTTAAGAAATTGTTTAATAGTTTGTAAGGAAATCAAGTGGGATTCGCAGCATAAAAGCTCTGAACTAGCTTTTGTGTAATATTAATGAGGTGAATGAATAACCCACATTGGGGTATTTAGTAGCAGCTGGTTTGATCAAAATTCTGTCGTTACCAGTAATTTTTTATCATGGGTTTTTGCATGGTACTGTGTGAATATTCCAATAGCTATTGCACTTAATTATGCAAAAGGCGCTGCTTTCAGTTGTGTCTGTTGAAAAATGCTTCTTGGTACTTCAACAGGTAAAAAAAAACTCACCTTTGCCAACAGTGGGTAATCAATATGTTTGTCATGTATGATTGATTGATACAGACATGAAAAAATAAAAATAAAGAACTCTAATTAGGTGTTATAATGATATGTTTTAGGATATACAGCCTTTATTGTTATCATCATCACATTGTTTGGCCAGATGCTTTGCACTATTTTGTTTTTGTTTCATTTTCAGACGATCATTCCAGGGTGGTTCTTAACGATTCCACCAATGTGTCTGGAGGTGACTATATCAATGCCAGCACTATTGTAAGTATAGAGATATATTTGCTTTTTTTCCCCCAAATTTTACTTCTACATAACCAGTCTAATTTCAATGTAGCAAGATTTAAGACCAAACGTTTCTCAAACCCTTGTATATCTTATGCTTGATCTTACTCTTAGATGTCTGTGTTTTATTTTGATTTCTGAATCAATATGATCTTTAATGTAAATTCTTTATGTTACTATTTTATTTTAAAATTTTTATTCAAACTCATCATCTGTACAACTTCAATGTTTTGGTTGCAATATTTTAAATATAATATTATATTAAACTATATATAAAATGAAATACTTATTTAGCTCTTTCTCTCTTTCTCTCTCTCACGCACACGCACACACACACACACACACACACACCATGCCATGTGTAATTGCCAGCTAGGCTAGGTTCTTCAAGCAAGACATTACAGTTCACAATTACACAATGCGTATTATCATGTGTATCTTATTTACCATATTTTACTAATACCACAAAACTGGCTCAGGCTATTGCTACCAATTAAGGGATATTCCATGAGTTCTATCACTTTATTGCAATTTAATGATTACATTGGAATTTTAGCACTTGCAGTGTCCCTACCATAAATCAGGCCTTCGTCTCCAAGAAATGTGGTTCATAAGTATTCATTTAGGCTCTGATATTGTAATGTTGCAATCCTTCCTCCAGGCCTTTGTCTGTATTTTCCCTGCCACATTTTCTGTACAAGATAAAATTGGAATTGACATATTTCTAATATGCATAGGACATACTGTTTTTACTGACATCTGCAATCGTGACAACTGTTATGTGACATGCAGATTGGAGATAAATGATGCCTCTTGAATCTTTAAAGAACAACCAGGGGTCGTTTTTTGTTTCATTTCATTTGAAATTGTGCAGGAAAAAAATGTAATATGTTTACTTTACATAAAAAAAATTCCTTGATTAAACAGTCACGATCTCATAATTTTGTATGTGACCAAAAATGGAGATACATGATAGCTCTTGAATCAGTAAAGAGCAACCAGGGGTCATTTTTTGTTTCATTTCATTTGAAATTGTGCAGAAAAATTACTGTAATTCGTTTGTATTATAGAAAAAATATTTCCTTGATAAAACAATCACGCAACTTTGTATGTGACATGAAAGTGCAATTCTGTTTATTCTTGCTCACGCCAACCTGAATTTGTTATAAATTGAAGCGATGAAATAGAGTTTGTCTAGAAACATGTCTAGCTTGAAAAAACCTTACTGTAATGAAGTTGGATTAAATGATGAATGATTTTTCTTGATCTGGCATAAAGTGAGAAATCTGGTTAGATGAAGAGCAAATTTTCGCAGAACTTGCTTATTTAGGTTAGTTTTAAAAAGAAGTGATTTAGAGAAGTTTCTCCAGTATAATGAGCAGCTTGAAAACCAGTCTGTAATAGACATTTGTCTAGAACGGACCGAAAGCAGAAAATGTGTTAAGCTTAAGAACAATAACTACTAAAGATGCTGAAATATGGAGCAAAAGTTGAAGGATGGTTTGGAAGAAAAAGGAGTTAACAAATACTCGGTTAGAGGGATTTTTTTCTAGAAAAGATAGGAAAGGTAAACCAAAACTGATTTTAACCATATGTCAATTGTTCTGCATCTGCTGAAAATTTTGTCACTAGCAGTCATTAATTTTGATTTGTAGTCAGATGATTATTTTTCATCAAAGGTTTTGCAAATTAGCAAAGAGCAATCATGCAATTTTGTTTCATTTTCTGTAGCACAACTTTAGGCAAAATGCTTTTATGTTTTCAATATCATTTATTTCAGACTGATCACGACCCCAGGAATCCTGCTTATATTGCAACGCAAGGTCCTCTACCACACACTGTTGCCGACTTCTGGCAGGTAAGTAATTTTGTGACGTACAATGTATTATCCTGTTTTTCTTAAGTATTCTAAAAAATGTTGAATTATGATGCTCTGGAGTTTATTTGAGAATACGTATTAAAACAATGAATTTATCACATAAGGGCTTGATTTTGATTTTCAAGAACAAAGATTTGAAAGAGAAATTAAGTTTCAATTTCGTAAACATTACAAAGTGATATATACCCAAGTTGTCTCTCATTTCTAATCATTGTGATCTGTAAACTTGAATTTCCCATTTTGTTTTCTCTCAGCTGGTGTGGGAGCAAGGCAGTGTGGTCATAGTGATGTTGACCAAGCTGACTGAGAATGGAGTAGCCATGTGTCATCGCTACTGGCCAGAGGAGGGAAGTGACCTCTATCACATCTATGAGGTAAGATATGGGTACTGACCACATTTTGGTTGTAACAGGACCACTGATTGGTTAAGTTAAGTTGAAACTGTGGTAGTACATAGAACAGTTGTGATTGGTTATATGAAGTGGAGAAGTGAGGATTATGATGGATTGGAACTTGGATGTATTCCGAGTTTTAACAGGGAAAATGATGAGTGGTAGCGGTGCATGGAACATTATCTTAGTGAACTGCTATGACAGTAAACATGCAATAAAAACTTTTTCAACTTAAATCCAGCTGAATTGAATTAGATCAAGAATCGGTATGGTTTATACTTACAACCAACTAGTATTGGAACTGTGTGTGTGCATGCATGCATATGTGCATGTGTACACGTGCAGGCATGCATGCATATATATAGCATCCTACATGTACATAATCCTACTTCAAATTTTAAAGGTCCATCTGGTATCGGAACACATCTGGTGTGAGGATTTTCTGGTGCGCAGCTTCTACCTTAAGAATCTCCAGACGGGCGAGACCAGGACTGTGACCCAGTTTCACTTTCTGTCATGGCCCGACCTCGAGGTCCCTTCATCTGTGAAATCTCTCCTTGACTTTAGACGGTCAGTGTTTTTCTATTTTTTAGATGGATTTGAGCATTTGCTTGAAAAGCTGTTCTAATTCATGCCAGTAATTAATTTGCAAAAAAAAAAAAAAAAAAAAATTATAATAGTAATAAAAAAGATAATACATAAATAGAATGAAAAATAGATAAATATACAAAGATCATTATGATGATATAATATAAATAAAAGACTTTTGGAGGGGGGATATCCCTGCGATTTTCCAACAATGCACGTCTGTGCCTTCCAGTCCCTCTATCTAAACCTGATATTCTGACATACTCTGATCAAAATAACCATCACTGCTAAGGGAATCGCACAATTTCCTGGACAAGATTTGTTAGCTTCTAAAGGGAATAGTGTAATTTCCTGGCTAATGGATTGTATTTGAATAGACAGGTAGTCGAAAGACCGATAAGAGTGTGAGGCAGTCATGCTAATTGACCTCCAGAGAAAGAAAGTGGGTGAGAGAGAAGGGAGGGCTCCAGTTAAAGAGAAAAAGAGGTAGAAAAGAGGAAGAGAATTGTGAGAGAAAAAAAATGAAAGAAAATGAAGATAGTGATTGATTTATGTGCAGTTCCCTTAATATCTGCAGTCAGTGGGGTTCATTCAGGCCGAGAAAGTGGTTAGTAATATGAAGTCACAACCATGCATGCAGGAAACCTGGCAGGTCCTTTTCATCGACTGGTCCTTTTAATTGGACCGGTCCACCTGGACACCTGGGGAGGTTCTAACACGTTATTACACTACAGGGGCTTTTACTCCTTTCACAAGTTCAGCTGTTTAGTTATTCTAAATAGGAGGCTGTGTTAGCCAAGAGGGCTTGGTTTAGGTGACCTTCTTACCTACTAGTCAAGCTGTTAAGTTGTTAATCTTTCAATTTGAATTGGTCCATATATTAATTTGGATTTCACAACACAACAGGGGGGATGTTTTATAAACTGTCTCTCTTGTCATTTTGCATATGAATTTTTACCTCACGTCACTGATAAACATGATCTCATATGGTATGCCAGCATGCAATACATGTGGTTTTTTCATTAGCTAAAACACTTGTGTATTTTATTTCTTATTTTGTCCAAAACACGCCATTTTTCCTAATTTATCATTAATTTGGAAGGAGAAGGGTTTGGCTAAAAAAAAGCGAAATCTGAAGCAGTATTCGTGGGATCAGCACAAGTAAGATCAAGCAAGGAATCCCTTTAAAATTTAAGAGTGTTAGGCAACAGGACACAATGAAAACCTGTAATTTTTAATTGAATAGTACATATATGGTGAAATGAATGATATTCTGTTGTAGAGGATATTGAAGATATGTAGCTCAGATATTATAGTGATGATTAATTTCTTCTCAGTTATCTGCTGATTAAAAAGAAAACTAATTCAGCTTTTGTACCCTCATCTTCGTAAAAATTGAATTTTTTTTCCGTTGATGTATGAAGACAAATCATTAGTGACAGGGCATGGGATGCATCGTGGTTGATCAGGCTTGCATGTTAGGGGAAATAGGAAATGGAAAACCATATCATCATGGAACACCAATTTAAATTGCGGAAGAAAACAGCATGGCACGAAGATAACCTTACCCCGATTTGACAAATTAACTGCATGAAATGAAAATTCTTGGGACCTACTATATACATCTAACCTTTAGGTGCTTTACTGAATGGCAAGAGGCTTATTTGCACAATCTTTAGGATAATCAGCTCATATATCAACTTACCTATCATGATTTCCTGTTTAAGATTGATTTGGCCTTTACCTTTAGTGACCTTAATCTTTGACCTGGGTGACTTTGGATTTGTTTTTAATGCATAATCTGAAGTTCAATGAACTAATACACGTATGTAATATATATGGGTGCTTTTTTCCATAGCTTGGTATAGCAATAGCCTTAAGCGATCTAAATACTGGGTTGATCGATCATCTAATGATTTTTAGATTAATTAACAACATCTTAAATTCTGACCTAATTCTGACCTCGACCTTGGGTGATTGCCATAGACCCTGGATTAACCTTGCACGCTACTACTACTACTACTACTTCTACTTCAACTTCAATTATACCAGGTTGCCTGGCGGCTTTTGTGATTTAGCAATTGTTTGCATGACAAATTGCATAGTCACAAAAGTGATCAGGAGCCTTGGAGCTTGCTACTAACATTATCACTGCTGCTGCTGCTGCTGCTGCATTACTGCTACTGTAACTGCTGCTGGGTGAAGATATTGGTAGATAGGTTCATCACGGTCACTAACTCTTAGAATGCTACAATACATCTACTGTTACTGCTGCTGGGTCATGAAGTCGGTCAACTGATTCAAAACAGTCACTATTAATTAGAACGCTTTATCACTGCTAATACTGGCAAATTATTCAAACTGGGCCTAATCTAGTTCTAAGTTCTATAACATGTTTTGTAGATATCTTGTAAATGACTACTAGTGGTATGTTGTATTTTTATGCCACTGCTGCTATTGCATTAATGCTACTGTTACTGCTGATGAATAAAGATATTGTTGTAGTATTGGTACCAGTAGTTCACTTTACAATTTGAGTGCTAATGTTCCTGTAACTGTTTGTTTTACAAATATTTTCTACACCATTGCTCACACTGTCTCTGATGTATGACTGCATGCTGTTACCACCCATAGGTTAAGCTATTGTTGGAACAATGCAACATTATCATTGAAATTATAGTCTTCGATCGGACAACTGAAATTAAAATCCACTTCTTCAGGATATAAAACAACTGCTTCAGATAGATGTATCACTATCCACTGTCATAATGATTGGTTACATAAATTTATAATGAAGCATCCATATGAATCAATTGATTTATATATCCCAATTAATATTAGTTACAAATTAATGACTTTGGACCCATTACAACATTATGAGGACTTACATTGGTTGCTTATGTTAATATGACAATAACATGTTATAGGCATGGAATATAACTTAAGTAGACCATCTGGCATAAGGGACCTGACTTTGACTAGTTTCTTGTACTGGTCAAGTCATACTGTAGGTCAGTGACACAGCTACCTATAGAGGTCTTTGTGAGGAGGATACAACATCTGGATTGTCTCAGCAAGGGCTTTGACTTTTTAAATGCAGTGATAAATGGAAGGAAATATGTAAAATTAATAACTCTCTTGCATTTTACATTTGGTCACATTCATTATTGCTAAATACCCTTTCTGGCAGTATATGGTTATCATCAACATTGTCATTTTATTCCAAGAATATTTTGTGCAGGCTTTTTGTTTTGCTTGTTTTTGGAATTGCATTTCCTAAATATGCTTTTGATTTGATTTGTTTCAGAAAGGTGAACAAATCTTATAGAGGAAGATCTTGCCCAATAACTGTTCACTGCAGGTAACACATTAATAAACTGTAAATGAAATAAATGCCATTATTTAATTATACACTCCCACTTATTGTTTCTCTCTTCTTTTGTGCTAAATGAAGTTGTGGGGAGTTGAGCTTGTATTCCTCAATATGGCCATTTAGAAATACATTTTCTGCCCAATATATAGGGCAAGTCAGTGTTTCTAGAAATTCTAGGATTGTGTTTTGAGCAGTAGGGCCAATTTTTGAATATTGTGGTAGTTGAGATTGGTGTGCAGCACTGATTGTGTTTTTGGTTGTGATTGCAGTGATGGCTCTGGAAGAACTGGAACCTACTGCTTGGTGGACATGGTGCTGAACAGAATGGCAAAAGGTAGCAAAGTTTGGTGTTTATTTAATATTTTATAAATTGTCATCAGTTGTGTTTGACATTTTTTTTTTATCAATTTTTATGGAACCTAATCTGAAATCTCCCAGAGGTGCATCTTCTATAATGAATTTTGTTGAATTTATATCAGAAAAGGAATTTAAAACATGAAAAACTACTGAAGTTATAATAATGTTTCATGGTGGCATATGTGCAATCAGTAGACGTGATGTAAAGAATTGTAATTTGTTTTTCAATTTAGGAGCTAAAGAAATTGATATTGCTGCCACGTTGGAACACGTGCGTGACCAGAGAATGGGGACAGTCAAGACCAAGGTTATTGTCTCATATCAACATGACAGTTACACCTAACCATGCATAGCAGGCCTTTACACTGGGGAGGTTCAGGGCTTTTACAAGAATCGTCCTTTTGACAAAAATGGTTCACTCTTAAGAAAAATTAAAAGGGATCTATGTTATATATTTATCATGTTGGATCAACTGTTGGGGAAAAAAGGTCCACCTATTAAGAAAAAAAAAATCTAAAATTGAAGGGAATATGGCATAACTGCAACAGACTTGATACAAATTCACTGTATCAGTTACCATTAAGTTCCTTAGTGGTTTGGTGAACTGTCAGCAGTTAAGAACTGAAAGTATGGTTTGTATCTTAAGAATATATCTTAATTTACTGTCAAACTAAGTTAATGAGATTACAAGATGTTCAGTTGTGATAATTTTATTTTAGCTATTACTGGACTTAAAATGCCTATCAGTTATATGCAGTACATGATATAGTTGACAGCTGATCTTCATGGGAAGCATGTTACCATCTTTTGACAGAAATTTTAAATCCAAAAGACTTAGTATATAGATCTATATTTAAATAATTTTTGTACACTGTAGTTTTGCTGTTGTTTGATATTTGTATTCTTTGAAAAAAACAAATGTTATATGTAAATTGAAAAAAAAAAAAACTTACTCTTTCATTTCACCTTTCACAGGAGCAGTTTGAGTTTGTTTTGGCAGCTGTCGCAGAGGAAGTGCACGCCATCTTGAAGGCCCTGCCCCAGTAATGACATCCCGCCTTTTCACCTCTGAATCTACAAACAAGTTTACTCTGCCAGCCGTTATTAGGATAGAGTCCGTTTCACTGTTGTCCCACAACTGTCTGGTACTACTCTGCTCACCTCATAGCAACCAATACACGACCACTTACAATGGATCCTTCCATGCAGTTGGAGGCATTGATTGCAACTGGTCAACAGTTGATTGCATGAGTACATGCTGTGCACCCTGCATGACGAACTTGCAGAATAAATGGTCTAAAGACTCTGGACCAGACCATTTTGGGAACAAGAGTGATACCGTGTCTTGCAGACTACAGATCAGCCCTAGCAGATCTACCACGTGACCCAATTTTAGGAGACATGCTTCATATTTAATATCAAGGGAACTGTGAAAGATACCAAGCTGCCTGTTCTTAATCATGGTACTTTATTTTAAGTTTTAGACACGTTGTTGTTGTCTTTTTGTGATATGGTCTTCTTAAACTATTTAGAATTGTTGTGTTCTATATCAGTGGGGGATTATGAGCCAGTGGATTTTATTTTCTCACTGAATTTTATTTATGTGCAGCAGAACGAGTTATCTAGTCAGAGAGCATCAGCCAATCATTGCCATTTTATTTATGAACACAAGTGCACTTTTGGTTTTATTATTTTAGTGATGAAAATCTATAGCATGTATAAGTGGCGAACAATATATGCTTTTTATGTTTGTTAAGCATCTCGAGTAAATCATGTCTGTGCAACTTTTCAGTTTTTGCTTTTTACTGCAAATGATAAATATGAAGATCAAAATTATAATCTATTGGAAGTACAATAATCTAACATTATTATATCAAAACGAAAGTTTTCATTTTTCATCCAGTTGTTTTAACTATATCAAATTAAAGATGGGATTATAAAGCTTTAGTATAGGACTTAACTGTAATTTTGCCTTTATATTAATTAGCTACATATTAACACTATGGTATGGAACTATATCATTCATAAATAAGCTGAGGTTATGAAGAACCATGCCTACGACAAGACTGGTATGTAAGTGTAATATATGATGCCAAACATTTTGCTCAGGATATGGACTAAACTTTACAGTTTATAGACAGTTTACAGGGATTATTGTGCATCATAAAACACGTACAAAATACATGATCAAAAGGCTTGTTTGGTTCGCATCAAGTATTTTATTTATTTCTATACTTATCTTTTGTTATCTCAGATGTAGAGAGTTTATTATTAGTGATAAAGAGGTCACAAATTGTTAATAGTCTATATATGCTGCTAGCTTTAAGTGTCAGTTATTCTAACAAATATCAGAAACATTGCAACCAGCACACAATGGGATCAGGCTTAGTTTATCTTTAAACCTTCACCGAAGGTTAAAGGCAGGCTAATTTGCTAGACAAGTGAAAAAAGTTATATTTGACAAATACTTTTCACAAAAATGTCACACATTGGATGCCAGAGTAAAATTTTGCTTGGATATTGGACATTGGATATATTTTAAAAGAAGGGAATAGTGGATGTTTACAAAATGTTATGAATGAGCAAAAGCAATCTCCCTGACTGTAATGTTACGTTTGGACTCTTTCTAATGTGATTGCATGTAGCTTTACAAGAAAGCAGTGATATATTTAGTTGTACTTAAGAATTTCAGTTGAAGTTTTTTTTTTTAGGAAAAAACATAAGTCAAAAATAGGGATTCCTATCAACAAAAGCAATGTATTGTCTACCATTGACTGACTTTCAGAGTTTGAAAGTTAAGTTTTATTCTCTTTGCTTTAGGTGACGTAACCCAACAACAAGACACTGATGTTCAAATACGGTAATGGCTCGATCATTTCAACTGGAAAAATTGTGAATTTTTTTCAGATACTATATTTTTAAGTAATAAATTTTTAAAATTAGAACATTCCTAGTGAGTGGTAGCAACACAGTTGAAAAGAAGACTACCTAAATGTTCTCTTCTATGCAGAAAAAGCACCAAAATGCTACATAGAAATGTATTTTTACGAATTCCAAAATTTTGTACCTGAAAAATTGATAATTTTGCCTGGTTGAAATGATCGAGCTATTACCGTACTAATGATTGTCCTTGAGATTGTTTAAACTTGAATCCATTGATAGATGTTTAGGTGACTTGACTGCAAGTGAAAGACAGCATTCCACATGAACATAAGTATAAATATTGATATATATTTTTGTGATAATTGTTGTGAAATTGTTTTGTAATGTGCATTTTCTTCTTTAAAAAAGTTTATTTCTACTCATCCTCTTATTATACATGCATGCAGTGGAATAACAAGCACAGAGATATTATGTGTAACATGGTTATAAAAAGAAAATCAATATTCAGTTGAAAAAAAATTAATTCAAATTTTGCTAAGATTATAGATTTCTCTTTCTGAAAGTTGTTCCATTTTGGAGATATCAAATACCCAACAAACGGGCAGGCCTGTCAAGGGTTAAAAACAAGTGGAGATTGAGACAGATATGTTAAACTTGATGACAAAAAATAATGCTACTAATTGTGAAGAGAAAATTTTGACATACCAGATGTGACCACAAAGAGATACCTTCGTCTATTTACTTGTAGGCTACATGAACAAGAAAGCTTGAAGTGATAAGGCAAATGTATGCTATTTTAATAAAGGTTTAGCCATGGAAATGAAGAGTTTATTGTCATGGAAACCTCGTCAAAGTGACATCAAACGAAGGCTATAAAGGAGACAAATTTCATCTTGCTTTTAACTGCAAGCTTTCTTGTAATGACTTAATTATACAGCCTTGTTAATAGTGGGATAAGACATTTTGGGGAAGGGTGACCTCGACTATACAGATTTATTGTTAACATGACACAAAGAAACTTTAGAAGATAAAATGTGTATTCAGGAAAATGTTGAACAAAGATTATGTTAAACCAGAGCATCCTGTTGAAGATCTGGAATAATGGCTTAATGGTAGCAATTAATGGCAGTGCGTCTTTTCAAAATGGCTTTGTCCAATATTTTAAGTGACTAATACGGTGTTCATCCAAGTTTGCACCCAGGTGGCCTACAAATACCCAGGATTATTCCAGGGATACTGGGTCTAAGTTGGCACAACCAGAAAACTGGTGGTGGTCTTACTTGGATGAATATGGTACTTTGAAGTAAAGATGTATGATCTTCTTGGGTCATTTGGACCAAATGCCCATTTAGTGTATCATGAACATGTCACGGAATAAATCAGCAAGTCCTGGAAAGCTTTTGTTCTCTTTTATGTATATGCTGGGGGGGAAATTATCAAAAAGCTTGACACATTTTGTAAGTTGATCAATGAGTGCAACTGACCCCAACATTGATAAAATTATTTTCTATGTACGGACACATCATGTTTACATTTAACATTTGGCAGATATTTACGAGCCGTTAGCCTACAGAATTGCACCAACTATTTCTTATTAAAATTTCCCTTGGTACTTGTGTATATCAAAGACATCCAATCTTTAAATTGACCCCCCTCCCTCCCCCCAGCATCGCAAATCAACTCCACCAATCCCTGCACTTAAATTGTTTTATACCACATTAATAAAATAATTTGGTTAGACGTTCGGACCACTGTCTTCTTGAACATTTCAGAAAGAAATATCGTCATCGGACACTTTTATTTGAAAGTTTTATAATTCCAAAGGTCCTAACTGGGGAAGACATGTAGGCATTTTTTAACGACTTTAGAACATTTTCAAACGTGTATAATATACCCTAATCAATATATCACATTACACATACACATGAAAATGAATACAAACAAACATTTTCAACTAGAATAATTTATTTTGTTCTCATGGTAGAAACGGAGTGTTCAAAAGTTATCATCAGCTGCGCTGACCTTTCACAACCAAGCCACGCCCATACCTGTCACCCCTCAACGAATCACAATGGCCCTTTCTTTTCATATATTTAATATCATATATATGTAATAACCACAGGAGGAGGAAGGGTCCATTCTGATTTACAGAGGGTGGGCCATATCAAATACACATTCTGGCCCCATTATAAAACCTATGGCAGCTTCAGAATATGCTGGTCTGTACACAAAGACCATATAGCACAAGAGGCCCTTGAACTAGACTCACTCTGGCAGCCAGGTAAAATGCATTAACCCTATTAAAGAAAATGATATATCTCATTTTTCTCCTTCCACGGATTTCACACTACTTTGGTTAAAAACATTTTGGCTTTTTTTAGAGCTTGCTGGCTAAAACACCATCCTGCCCGAGTGAGGCCAGTAAAACAACAGGGACGGGGTAAGCTGGAGTGAAAGGCTTGATGCGCTAGCTGGTCCACTCGATCTGTACACTTTTCCATTTAAAAGATATGATGGTACTGACAGTGGTGTAGATGGTGTTAGGATTGCAGTGGATTGTTATCATATGCTTCTTCTTACTTCTTAATACCATTGTGCAGTAGGAAGACCAGGGCTGTTGGACTGGCTAGAACACCCAACTAAGAAGAGCAAACCCACCTGTGTAAACCCCCCCTTTGCTTGCTACATCATCAGACCATGATCAGCCGTTTCAAGGCGAGTTCTAAAATGGCATCTTCCTTCTCTCCTGCCAACAGCCCTGTTCCTCTGCACCTCCATTTGACTACCATTGGACAATAACTAAGGAAAAAATACATGGTGAATGCAATACGAGCGCATGGGGACACTGCCTGGAAAAGGGAAGAAACAGCCAGCAGATCAATGTACAGAAAATGTATCCTAGACAATCTTTTTTTTCTCTCTTAAGATAATGACTGAGGAAAACATTTCATAATCTTTGCCGACTTCTCTTAGATAATTTGATAGAAACGTTTAACTGCACAAGCTCTCTGCCCACACCGTACATGTCTGTTTACTGAATATCAGAGAAAACCCATGGTCAGTTAATCATAACAGCTAGATTTTTCCACCTTTCCTTTGTTGAAATAGTTAACTACATCAAGCTGGTGAAGCTATAGGAAATACTACACAAATACATTGATACAGCTCACCTGAAGCAAAATCCCTTCGTGCCAGCAAAAATTACGATTACTAATACTAAATATCATCAACGGCCATCTGGGTAATATAATAATGATAATAATATAACACAAGTGTCCCCATGCACTGTATGCCACAAACGGCAAATACACTGAATTCATATGAAATCATTACATGCAATGGCCGAAAAAACTAGACCATACTTCATACAAGTTTTCTGCTCCTGCTTCTTGGCATTGTGCAATAATTCTTACTTCCTGATATGTGACTAAGGCCACTTTACACAGGGTACCTTTCCCCCCTGCCAGTGGGTACCAAGGAAGGCTAAGAGGGGTTACCCATCTTATTCTTCTAAATGTGATATCAAAGCACCACGTTTCTAACAAGACAGCCTGCAATTTCTCTCTTTTTTTTTTTTTATTAATCCAAATTCCAAACACATGAACATGAGGTGACACCAATCTGCTGCTTGCAGTGAAGTTCGGTCTAGTTTTAACAGACAATCTAAGAGTTAAAATTGTTGACTATTTGTAATGTACACTCTTCTAAAGTGCCATTTCTGATACAGCAGACCGCACATTCCGGCACCCATGGGCTCAGTTCAAACATATCACACTAGTCTACAGATTTGAAACAGCAGGGTGGTATTCATGAACAAGTACCAGAACCGCACACTTAATTCAGTGAGCTTCCTTACCCCAGCATTTTTTAAAACTTTTATATCTGTGCTGAAGCAAAAAAAGAAAAAGATTGTTAGAAGAACCCGTTTCTCATAACTGCGCCCATGTTGTGCCGTCTGTTCAGCCTGCTGTATGCCTGTGAGACCCTTGCTGGTACAAAGGTAGCTGCCAACTATCAGTAGGACCATTCAACCAAGTCACAAAGTTGACCACAAAGTGAGCGCTCTGACAGACACCAAATATGAATAGAAATTAGGGGGAAATACTGAAATTATAAACAGGCTTCCATTATCAGTACCATCCCGGACTGAATATTTAACAAGTTAAATCAAATGGGTTTTCACCAGACCAGTTTTTGACTGTATTTATATAGGATTTGAGGTAGACCATGCACTTACTTTCAGCTTGAACAACATGAAAGCATTTTCCCTTTTAAAAAATAAACAATAAACAAAAAGGAAAAAAAATAAATCCCTCTGATTCCATTAAAATTAATTAAAAAAATATCTTAAAAAAACTTAAAAATAACCAGCAGCTTTGTGTTGCCATACATTGTGCACCAGCCTCCCACAAGCTGTAATTTCAGTAATAGAAATAAATAGACCCTGGTGGACTGCATAATAATAATAATGATATTAACAATAGCCCGCGTCTTCTGTCACTACATTACATCATACAGAGCACTCCCTTCAATCAACCTACGCAACTTGATTAACATTAGCAACAGACCATGTGACAAGAGGAGCCCTGAATTGGTGCAAATCTCATGAAATAATTCTCCCAAAATAAATAATACAATTCACGAGAATGGCACCCATTCCCAGGGTGTTTCAACCTACTTGCCACCCTTAGAACAAGTTCTATTTTTTTTAAGACTCCTGAGTGAAGATGTATTGCAAAACGAAAAAAAAATAAAAACTCGACCCAAATTCTGTCTCATGAAAACTAAGGCCAACTCACAGTGAAAAAATAGCAAGTCTGGTGTTTTCTGAGGGCGAAGCTTTCAGTCCTTCTGGGCCACCGTACTTGTGTAAATCAGCAAATAACTACACAAATCAGAGCACAGTAGGCCTGTCTTCCGCCATAAGAACACACCAAACCTGCTAGGCATCCAATGCTAAATAGATACACAAGGGGGATTAATGCCCAATAATGTAATATTAAGGGATTAGAAAAAACAGGAGAAAATTTACCAATCAACTTGAAAATAAGCTACAGTAAAGAAGTAATAGAAATCGCATCACATAGTAAAGTGTGGTATTATATCATCATTATCATCTTGCTGTGTATCATCGTCTAGTTTGCTCTAGCTGTTTGAAATAGTGAGTGGTGGTTTGAGAGCAAGATCGCGCCATATTCTCCCAGTTTATGACGTGACTCTCAGGGTGCCTGAATTTTGAGAAGAAAAAGAGCAGCAACAACCAATTCTTTTTAACCTTTGTCCCAAGTCTCTACCTGTAGCAAAAACATACTGGATACCGATTCAGTCATCAGTTTACCTGAACTTATTTGGGAAACACTCTTCAGAAACCCCTTATTAGGGCGCACGTGTCAATAATTAAAAACATCCTGTAATTGGTTGGTACTGCCCAGTTTCCCCAAATTGAAATACCGCACAGACTCAACCCAAACAAAGCTTCAGTTAAACCACTTATATCTCTCCTCTTTTTACTTAACAAATGAATAAAGAATACATGCACACTCTTACCAGGGTTCAGTCTGTGCAGCTTCGAAAGTACACACTCATCAATAACATTTTACTCCTGGTGGCAGTATAATAGTGCAAAAAGGCATCAAAATAGTCCTCCTTCAAATAAGATTATGGTACCAATTCCAAGCTGGAAGAACTGAGCTAGCATTCCCACCCTGTGCCCCTAAATGTCAGCTTTAGGCCTCATCAAAAAGGGGGGGAAGGGTGGGGTAGCTTCCAGTCACAAACCCCAAGCTTTTTTTTTTTTTTTTTTTTAATCAATGCAGAAAGTTATAGGCACAGCACTTAATTAACATCTTGCACCGACCTTAGGGATAAGAGCTTTACACATAACTTCCCATTTTTCACTTTTCCCAAGGTTTTGGACCTCTGAAGGCAACCCACAAACAGCATTTTGTACATTTTTTTCATATATGTACATATCATTTGCCAAATGACTGGGAATCGTAATAAGGTAGCTCAGTTCGTCCCTTGGTTTTAATTATCATCCATATCCTGTGACGCTGATGTTTTGTAAAAACAGTCACATGACCAAGGCCTTGGCTCGGCTGCAGTATGCCGAGTCAACTGATCTAGAGGTCTTGGTCTTTACTTAATTCCCCCTTTTTAGTTTTAGTTATCATCCGATTCTTCATACAGTTTCCAAGACAAGAGACAGAACTAAAAAAAAAAAAAAAAAAAAATTCTCCATGGTCGAGAGAGGTCAAGCGTACATTATCTAGCGGTCATTTTTGAAGTGTCTTTTCATCCAGATCGAGTTGGTTTCCATGTTGTTACTGTTGCTGGTGGTATACAGAATAGTGATCAAGATAGCTGGAGTACATAAAGACTGAACTCCTTTTATATAAGACCTTTTCTCAGGTGTAGACGTAGCTGGTTTCCATTTATCTTATCAATATAATATAATAAACAACAACAACAATGCCGCTGCTTTATGCACCTTGTAAAAAGTTTAACAAAAAAGATCATCATCAACAAGTATCAAAAATAAACCTTTATACGTCTCTTACAAAAAGACCATGATATACTTCAAACATCAACAATGGTCTAAAATTAATCTTTTTTTACGCTTTTTTTATCTTCTTCATAGTATAAATGTACTACAAAAAAATTCAACCGAGGCATCCTTGAGAAGTGATATAAACTTGTATATTATTGGCCTTTTTCCTTCTCAAGGAGCCTCCTTTTCCTTCAAACCTCTCACATTGCAATAGTCGCAAAAATTTCTCTACTTCGTTACTCGCACGCCAACACTCGTCAATGCAACCAGATTTTGATGCCTTTGATCACATGGTGTCTCAAAAGATGTAAAATCACTCCTTTTATAAACACCGTGAGCAAACTTGGGAGTCAAAGAAATAAACAAAGACAAAAATAGGTGAAAGAAAAAAAATATTCCAACCAGAAAAATACCAATATTAAGACGTATATGTACAAACATACGTTTTACATTTTTACTTCAATCATCTGCTTTTTCTTTTTTCTTTTTCAAATAAGTGAATGACTAAACCACTACTACAGAACAGGAGTTTAATAAGAAGGAAAAAAAAAAGTTAAAATCCCGTTCTTTGGTTTTTTTTTTCAACATGACCTGTTGTTCAGAGGTATTCAACATAGTAGCAGTTTGTGGTCGCACTACTTTTCTGGTGACTTCTTATTGGCCATTCTGTGGTCCACCACGCCCGCGCCCCATGCCACGCCCAGGGCCCCCACCACGGGGGCCTTCTCCCATCCCTGGCATCATTTGACTTTGCACAACAGAACGAATGTTACGCTGGGCAAGCTGTAAAAAGATTTTTAAAAATATGCAAGGCTCAGTAAAAAAATAAAGCCACTTGTACTGTTTTGATTATGTAATACGTACATGTTTGCCAACAAAATGCATAGACTTAAAAATATTTCTGAAATTCAATACAATCCAAGATGAGCAGTTCACTTTTGTCATTTTATATGAAAAGGTGTGATATTAAGTTTTAGTCAAGGCTCCATGCATGCTAGTGTTCACGTACCTGACTGTTCTCAAACGGGGCCACTAGTTGCACAGCCACTTCGTCTCCCTGAGTTGTTTGCTCTTCTGCAATTTTGATAATGGCACGACTGATACGCGTAAGCTCACGCACCTGCAAATGGGCATAAAAAAATCAACATCATGTCAATTGTAGAAGTTACTCCCCCCACCCTCAAGTTTTTACACTGATAAATTTTAATTTATATCCATTAGTCAATATTGAACATTTTCCAAATAGTCAATAGTCTTCAAATATATTTTATTTTACAGACAGGTGGGATCTACAGTACAAATAAATAAATGAATAATACTAATATAAATAATACAAGACAACCAATCACAGGTGAAAAAAGGCATCTGCTTCTTAAAAATTTTACAGCATACGCAATCCAGAGCATCTATTCATGGAAGCAGGCTGTAAAAACATTCCACACCATTTATATACGTACATTCTTTCCTCCTTTGCCTATAATACGTCCCACAATACTGCGGGGCACCATGATCTCTACTTTCAGGGTAGGGTCATCATTGCCAAAGAAGCCCTCAGCCTTTATCTTTTGGAAGAGCAATAATTGGGCCTGAAATATAATGGGGAATGCCGATTTTAATATATCTATAATGAAAAACCCGATTTTAATAAATGTTTCAATCAAAGCTACGAGGAAGGCATTTGGCCGAAAGATTAAAATTTAGTAGGGCTTAATTAAATTCTTAAGGAAGACTTAAAATTTAACCTTTATGCTAATAACACAAGCATTTTCAGTCATGTTCACATCAGGACTAATTTAAACCTGAAAAAAAGGCGATCTGCCACCAAGCAATATCCCAACTGGTACTAAATGCAAGGGAGCATACCTTGTACTGTGCATCATAGTTCCCTGTGATGGTGACTCGCCTCTCTGGAGCATTGGGGTCCTCATCCTTATCGGCAACCTGGATCATATAAAGGGTACTTGTTTGAAATAGACCCCAACTTCAAAACAATGCCATATGCTGGAGTATGGTACCAAACCCTGCACCATCTTACAAATACAATGCTGCATAGTTTCCCATTCCATACACACACACATACCCAACTACTTTAATGCCTGTCAACATTGACACCCTCTACATGAGTGTCACGTAATAATATTTCCAACATGTACAAATAGCAAATAACATTTTAATACTAAATCAATTCCTGGGAAATTATGTAGTAAAATACCAGCTGGAGGCATGCTCTCCCCCTCCCTCCCTCTCTCACAACGCCCACACACACACACAAATCACCCACCACTCCCCTCTTTGCCCCCTACCCATCCACAACTTATCAGTACCTTAATACCAGCTCCAGACACGTTCTTCACATAGTTAATATGCTGCCCTCCCGTGCCAATGATGGCCCCCACTGCAGTGCTGGGTATGTAGAGGTAGGTAGTCTCCGCCTGGGTGGACTGCATCCCGCCACGGTAGCCGCCCGCGCCACCACTGCCGCCATGACCGTACATGCCACCAGGGCCCTGGAAAGGGTACTGGGGTCAAAAGCGACCAAATTTGTGGATGAAATAAGGTGCTAGGCTACAGAGGTAGACACGCAAGACTCAACACAGCATGTCTCTTCACACAGATTTTAAGCATGCAAGCATGACAATGGGGAATTTCCAAGAATTGTTGGTACTAAAATTAATAAAAAAAAGTTATAGATTTATATCCAAAATTGACTGACCCCCTCCCCCCAACCTCCCCAGATGCCATGCCTACATATATTATGCAATGCGACTCAAAAAAGCCAAAGAAAACAAAGTTCAAAACAAGAGACAGTGATGTGACTTTCATCCAGTACAATACGACCTTGGTTATGTTAATTAAAAGGCTGCAAATAATAGTGAAAAGAAAAGGCTAAACAACAATCATGTAATGAACATACCACACCAGTCAAAACTGTTGAATTAGCTGCTATTAGAGTTATGAAATTGGTTTTGTAGTGGAAAGGAAAAGTGTGCTCAATCATCTCTTCAAAAGGACAAAAAAGAAACAGAGGAGGTGGGTGGCATCTATTGTAGTGAACCTTTCAAAAGTGACAAAAACTCAACTAAAAACAAGCTTGATATTTGCCTGCTCTCTGGTTGAAGGTTGGGCTGTGCATATTAAACCAGTCTTTAACAACTATTTATTGCAAATTTGTGAAACATTCTCTTTACAAGTGAGTAACCCCTTCCCCCAAACAATCCAATAAAGCCAAGTTTTGTTCAACTTCTAAAAAAATGTCTCCAATACAAGAAAATAAAAGCCATAGTTATGCAATCAACAAAGGGAGACCCGGTAAAATACCAAGTACAATTAAAAACAATGGAGCATGAGCAAAACCAGTCAGAACATTTACATGTATTGCATGCAAGCAAAAGGGTGTGGAATTCTGGTTTTAATGCACTAAAAATCTTTTCATTTGAATTTTGTCAAATTTCAAAATATATATTTAAAAAAAAATTAATCAATAAATCAATTTTAATCAACATCAAACTTCATTTATTGTCGGTTTTTGAAAAACCAAAAACTTTCACAGTAAGGGGAGGGAATAAGGCAATTAATTAATTAAAAAAGAAACATTGTTACAACAGAGATCATCATCTAGAACACCATGCTAATTGCTAGATGCACATACATGTAAATTCTACTGTCAGTTACAGCTTCAAACACACCCAACCCATCACATTTTAAATAATATTTCCTGTACCAAAAAAAACATAGAAGTGTGTAAACCCATCCAAAAAGGATGGTAAATACCACCAATAAGTGCTTTACACCAAAAATATACACAAATATATAGACATGAATAAACATATGACATTTCCAATAAAAAAAAAAAAAATTGCCCATGCTCATTGCCAAATTGTTTCTAGGACTTACTTGGTATTGTACTGCCTCTCCTTGCATACACACCTACAAATGATGGGGAATGTGTCACTGTTTTACACTCCCGTCAAGACAAGAATGGACTCTCTGACTGATGAGGAAGAGTTCATTGAAGTCCCGACTTGGTTGTGGGTTATTACAGAGGTCATATTTGAGAAGTGAAATAAGATGAAATTGTGTGTAATTCTCGAAGTCATGAAGCACAAAGCACATGAGATCAGTTAAAGTAAAAAGACTAAAATATGAAATATAGTGGAAAAAAATGCCCCCATTAAGATATGCTCTCTGTATATGATAGAATTATTCATATTTCACAACACTCCCCTAGAGACTCTCTTCCCAGGTTCAGTGTTCAGAAAAAATTGTGAAGCACAAATTAACCAAAAATATATCAAGAGCATAATGGGGCTTTTTTTTCTCCGTCAGAAAACAGTTCAAACAAATAGAATTAATTGCACAAATGGCACAGACAACCGTCAAGATAAAATGTATTACTTTCCAGTCTCATTATTTGGTTTTGGTCATTAATCAACACCAATAATGGCCACTTTTCATCATCTTGGGATGCTCAAGAACTTATTCACTGCAACAAGTTTTGTGAAATAAATAACACATATGGGGGAACATTTAACACACAAAAAAACAGCTCAAACAATTGTCTGCGCATGAGGCATAGTTTGCAAGAGACAATCCCTGTCAACATCTGAAGAATTACACAATCAAATCTTCAGGTGATGGCAGTATTGTCAATAGATGGGGCTCTCCAACATCTGCAGCCAATCAGGGCAAATGCTAGGAGCTACAGTTGCCGGACTTACCTGTGGATAGAGGGCGCTTCTCATCCCATAGGGTCCATAAGGCTGCATAAGAGCCATCGGGTTCATGCCCTGCATCATAAGTACATTTTGAGGCTACAAAGTAAGTAATTGGGGTTCATACTCTCTTACCTAGTGGGATGTAGGAGGAATATTCTTCAGGCCATCTGGGGGCATTCTCCCACATATTACAAACAATCATACCTATAATTCTCTTTTCTCCCCAAAATACGTACATCTAATAATTTTTTTTTAGTGATGACAGAGTTGGCTTTGTATTTATTTACATTACTGATCTAATTTAACTTAAAAAACCACTTTTGACTTCTTTTATCTTTTCTTTAAGTATAAATCAAAATTCAAACATATATTCTCCAGAAATCTTCATTCTTAAATAGAGAACAGAAAAAACTTGCACCATACAATTTCATAATCTGTGCAAAAAGTTTGAATAAGCAAAAGTTTCATCGCACACCAAAATCAAAACCAAGAAAATCATGGGAGAAAACTCACCATGTTCTGCATATCTTGCTCATAGCAAGCTCGGAGTTTTGCACTAATCTTGGCCTCTGCCTCTGGCATGGCGTCCAGAGAGCCTCTCACTGTCACCACGCGGTCCATGTTCATTGGGTCAATTTCATGGATACTGAAATCGAACATTTAAACATCAAATCCATCACCATCAGATATGTTTTCAGTCACTTTGAAATGTTGAACTTGTGATTTTTAACTTGCTCATGGTATCTGATCAACATTACATCACTTTGCACAGTCAAACATTAATTTGTACAATGTTTAACTACAACTTTTTTTTCTGTCAAATCTGTTAATTCACAAGCAATCACCAAGAATGTCGTCCCATGAAGACCTGTCTACAGATGACCCCAAATGCAGCGATGTACCAAATGTCACCAAACATTTTTTTTAAATATACCCTATTTATCCCCAAATCAAATG